TGATGGTGTAGCTCAGTGGCAGAGCACTTATCTGCAAATCCCTGGGTTTGATCCCCAGTACCACCCACACCAAAAAAATGTTGTGTCCCACTTAAAGAATAATCTTTCAGACTGAGGGTGTGGTTCACGTGGTAGAATGCTGGCAAGCATGAGGTTCTGAGTACCATTCCCAGTACCACAAAAAAGAAGACAAAAAAAGAAAATAGAAACTAATTCTTTCTGTCAACTCCTCCAAATTTTATGACTTTAGGGGACAGGAAACAAATGACTAAGAATATCCAAAGAAGGATCTTTTCCTTTTCCTTCTAAAGAAAGAGAGAAACCAAGACTGAGTGTGGGAGTTTTCTGAGGCTATTAATAGTAGCTGGATTTAAATATAATTCTGCCCTCTGGTAACCAGCTGGCTGCTTCTTTAAGATTTGGCTTCTCCTTTGTGTAAGAGGGCATGTTTTGTTTCAGCATTTTACAGACTGAATGCAAATTAGTAGGAACAGATAAGAAACATAAACAAGCTCCTGTAAGTTTCACTGGCAGGGAGAGGCAGCGTGGGAACTGTGTGACCTTGGAATGAGGACCAAAATGAAGTTAAAATATTTCAGAGGAGGGGAAGGGGAGGTAGCCCAAATAATGTATACACATGTAAGTAAATGTAAAAACGATAAAACAAAATTTAAAACAAATTCTACCCCTCCTAAAATGAGGACATTGATGGCAATGATAATAATAATAACAGTAATGGTTATGGGACATGAATGTATATGGGGGACGGTTGGGGGGGCAGCAGGGAGAAGGGAAGGAAAGGATACAGAGGGGTGAAGAGGAGGGAAGTAGGCAGCATATATACATATGAAGGCAGTATAATGTCCTCATATGTGGACATTAGATCAAGGGCAAACACAACAAGGGGATTGGACTATGAGCACATGATAAAAGCGAGAGCACACAAGGGAGGGGTGAGGATAGGTAAGACACCTAAAAAACTAGCTAGCATTTGTTGCCCTTAATGCAGAGAAACTAAAGCAGATACCTTAAAGCAACTGAGGCCAATAGGAAAAGGGGACCAGGAACTAGAGAAAAGGTTAGATTAAAAAGAATTAACCTAGAAGGTAACACCCATGCACAGGAAATCAATGTGAGTCAATGCCCTGTATAGCTATCCTTATCTCAACCAGCAAAACCCCTTGTTCCTTCCTATTATTGCTTATACTCTCTCTACAACAAAATTAGAGATAAGGGCAAAATAGTTTCTGCTGGGTATTGAGGGGGGGAGCGGGAGGGGGTGGAGTGGGTGGTAAGGGAGGGGGTGGGGGCAGGGGGGAGAAATAAACCAAGCCTTGTATGCACATATGAATAATAAAAGAAAAATGGAAAAAAAAAAAAAAAAAAAGAAACCCACCAAACACTTTGAAAGAGGGGGAGGAGGGAGAGGGAGAATGGGAATATATTGGAGGCGGTGAACTTGTTCAAAGTACACGGTACGCATGTGTGGAGTGAAATTCTCTTGTATTATTAATGTATTCTAATTCAAAAATAAAACATGGATGCGAGGGCAATCTGGCTGCATCTGTCACCCCATTGATCACCAGGGTTGATTGGGCTGATCTGGCTGGCTAGGCGGGTGTCCCCTTCCTCCCTCACCGCTCCATGTGCATCCCTCCCAAAGCTGCGCCCGCCCTCGGTCGAGGAGGACGACCATCCCCGGATAGAGGAGGGCCCTTCTTCGGTCAAGGGTATACGAGCAGCTGCGCTCCCCTGCTAGAACCTCCAAACAAGCTCTCAAGGTCCATTTGTAGGAGAAGGTAGTTAAGCTTCCAGGACTCCAGACACATCCAAATGAGGCGCTGCACGAGGCAGTCTGCCTTTCGAAAAAAAATAAATAAAACAATGTTTTAATTAAAAATAAAATATTTAACCCCTCAAATATAAAATGATGCAGCAGCTGTAGGAAACATCAGTCAATTTTTCAAAAAATTAGAAATACTGTTATCATATGATCCACACATTTCACTTCTATGTATATGCTTCAAAGAAGCGAAAGTAGGGACTTAGAGACTGGTATGTTCACCATAGCACCGTTCTTAGTAGCCAAAAGGTGGAAGCAACCAAGTATCCATGGATACGTGGATGGACAAACAAAATGTGGTATTTACATACATTTTAAGGAATATTATTCATCCTTTAAAAAGGAATAATATGTTGATACACACTACCATATGAAAGGGACTGCAAAACATTATGCCAAATGAAATAAACCTGATAGAAAAGGACAAATATTGTATGTTTTGACATACACAAGATAGCTTAAATGGTCAAATTCATAGGGACAGAAAGAAGCAAGATGGTTGTGAGGAACTAGAGGGAGGGTGAAGTGGGGAGTTAGTGTCTAATGGGTACAGAGTTTCAAACTGGAAACAGATGGGGAGACTTTGTCCTACAGTGTGGGTGTACGTAGAACCCCTGATCTGAGCATTTCAAAGTGGTTAAGACAGTAAGTTTTATGTTAACTATATCGCAATTTTTTTTATGGTACTGGAATTTGAACTCAGAGCCTACACCTTGAGCCACTCCACCAGCCCTTTTTTGTGAAGGGTTTTTTTTTGAGATAGGGTCTCACTAACTATTTGCCCAGTATGGCTTCAAACCTCGATCTGATCTCTGTCTGCCTCCTGAGTAGCTAGGATTACAGGTGTGAGCCACCTGTGCTCTCTTTCTTTCTTTCTTTTTTTTTTTTTAAGCATTCATCACAGATTGCTGAACCTTTTGATCTTGCTGTTGTCTTTCACCCTAGACAACTAGAATGTAAACTCCATGAAAACATCAGGGATTTTTAACTCTTTATTCACTCTCCTATCTCCAGAGCCCAGAATAGTGCCTGGCACATGGTAGAAATTCAATGAATGGGTTTTTAAACAACAACAACTCCTTGTACAAACCTTGTCATACACAAATACATGAATGAAAATTAATCTCTCTTGAGTGAATTCCTGCAAATTGGATTGCTTCAATTCTACTAAGTGTTGCCAAATGGCTCACCAGTTTCTCCATCACCACTGATCTCTAACTTGGCATTGTCACACTGTCTTATTTTTGCCAATCGGATGGGTGTAAAGGGTGTTTCATTATCTTGTTTTATTTTTCATCTCCTTGGTTATTGGACAGATTGAGCATTTTCCTTAGGCTTTTTCTGCGATGTGTGTGGCTCCACATGTCCTTTGTCCATTTTGAACCCTGGGATCTTTATCTTTTATACAGATACTGCTATAGATTGGCATAGAAGTAGATAAATACAGTGATACACATACTGGTTTTTACAAATATCTCCTAATTTGTGGCTTATGTTTTCTTTGTCATGTCCTTTTGGGAGCCAGACATTTTAACTTTTGATGGTTTAAGGTACAAAATCTTTCTTTTTATGGTTTGTACTTTATGTGTCATGTTAAGGTATCACTTTCTAACCTGAAGTGATAAAGACATTCTCTTTTTAAATTTTTTTAATGGTACTGGGGTTTGAACTCAGGGCTTCCTGCAGGTGTTCTACCACTTGAGCCACTCCACCAGCCCTGTTTTGTAAGTTTTTTCCAGAAAGGATCTTTCGAACTATTTGCCCAGGTTGGCTTCAAATGTATCTCTGCCTCCTGATTAGCTGAGATTACAGGCGTGAGCCATCAGCGCCTGGCTCTTTTTAAAGTTTTTAATTAACTTCTTATTTGGAAATCACTTCAAGCTTACAAATGTTGCAAAAATAAGAAGAATACAAAAAACTGCTTTATGCTGTTTACCTAGTCACCTATTGCAAACATTTTACCTTGTTTGTTTATAATTTGAAATACAAAACACAGCATATGATGTATCATGCTATATATTTCTTCTGAGCTATTTGAGGGTTACATACATACATCATGATGTTTTAACACTAAATACCTCAGTGTGTATTTCCCCACAAATAAGGATGGTCTTGCAAAACTACAGAATAGCTCTTAACTTCATAAATTTACATTGATAACTCTTATCAAATCACCCATTTATATTCCAATTTTGTCAGTTGCCATTTTTAATTCATTTATTCATATGTGCATATGCCAGTTTTTTTATAGACAGGGTCTTACTATGCAATCCATCTGACCTCAAACTCACTGTCCTCCTACCTCAGCTTCCCAAGTGCTGGGATTACAGTTGTGTACAACCACATCTAACTGATGTCAATATTCTTTATAGCATTTTTATAACTCTATAGGTCTAAGGTGTTTCCCTACAGATTGCTTATGAATTGGGGGAGGGAGGGAGGGAGAGAGCGACAGAGAGAGAGAGAAAGAGAGAGAGAGAGAGATGGAATTACACTATAGAGAAGTAAGTGTAACACTTTTACCAGGTGACCAAAAGTAACCAATGAGGGTGCTGATAGACATCCTGTGTCTGCAGACTGGATAGCCTAAGGACACCTATTATACAATGGTTGCCCTCTTCCAGCTCATAAACAAATACAAGGAAACACTTTAAGACCATGTAAATATTGTATTACTTATCAAAATCTTGGGCTGGTGGAATGGCTGAAGTGGTAGAGTGCCTGTCTAGCAAACATGAAGCCCTAAGTTCAAACCCCAGTACCACCAAAAGAAAAAAAAAACAAAAAAACCCCCAAAAACCTCTACTTAGCTATAGCATCCAGGGATGAATCTTATCTGATCCAATCTTTACCATGAAAAGGATTCATTGTAAAAACTTGTGGTTTTCTCATGTAGGTCAGTAATCTGGACTTGATTTTTCTGTGTGGTGTGAGGTAGGGATCTAATTTTATTTTCCTCCCTATATGGTTAGCTAATCTGCTCCTGGCTGCCTGGAAAGTAGGAGGATCCCACTCCAGAGGGACAGTAGGGGCTCCCATTCTCCACTAGCCCGCCCCTCCCTGCCTGATTAAGAGACCCTAATCAGCTTGAGAAGATTAAGGGTTCTGGCAGGCTGTTCCCACACCCCGCCCTGGGCTGGGCTGGCAGGGGAGATAGAAGGGGGATCGACCCTGTGACCCCTCACCCGGGCCCTGGGCCTGAGCCCTGGACTTTCTGGTGAGTGGCAAGGGGCCCTCTGAACCGACTCCAGTTGGGTTTCAGGGCGTGGATGTATCAGGGCTGACCCCAGACTGCACGACTGGGGAGGGGCGAGGGTGGTGGTGGTCTGGGGGACACAGACAAGCTGGAAGCGGAAGCACAAGAGGCCAGAGGAGACGTCCAGACTTTACGCTTGACCTGAACCTAGTAGTCCAAGTCTGCCAAGAGAGTTAAGCAGGATTTGAGAACCAGGCTTGCGGGGGAGTGGGGGGTTAGATTTTAGGGGGTGTTTCGGGGTGTCAATCGCTCAACCTGCTCGATCTATGTTCACAGAAGCCGGCAATGACCGCGTGCGCCGTCCTAGCGGATGGGCTTCCCGAGACCCTGCTCTGCGCCCCAGCGCGGAGCGCGGAGTGTCCGCCCGGCCTCACGCGGGTCCTGCCCTGGCGCAGACCTAAGCCGCTCTGGCTCCTGCTCCTACTGCTCTTCCCGCTTCCCTCTGCCCTCGCTAAGGTGTTCAAAGTGGGGGTTCTGGGCCCCTGGGTTTGCGACCCCATTTTCGCCCGGGCCCGCCCGGACCTGGCCGCCCGTCTGGCCGCTGACCGCTTTAACCATGACCTTGTACTTCAAGGCGGACCACGCTTCGAGGTCGCGCTGCTACCTGAGCCCTGCCGGACGCCGGGTTCGCTAGGGGCTGTATCCTCTGCCCTGGCCCGCGTCTCGGGCCTGGTAGGTCCCGTGAACCCTGCAGCCTGCCGGCCAGCCGAACTCTTGGCCCAAGAGGCTGGGGTCGCGCTGGTGCCGTGGGGCTGCCCCGGGACGAGGGCGGCAGGCACCACGACACCGGCAGTGACCCCCGCTGCGGGTGCTCTCTACGTCCTCCTTCGAGCATTCCGCTGGGCGCGCGTGGCCCTGATTACCGCCCCCCAGGACCTGTGGGTGGAGGCGGGACGCGCCCTGTCCACAGCATTAAGGGCCCGGGACCTACCGGTTGCCCTGGTGACCTCCATGGAACCATCGGACCTGTCTGGAGCCCGGGAGGCCCTGAGGAGGGTCCAGGAAGGGCCCAGGGTCAGAGGTAGACTTCCTTGCAGGGTGGTCGGCAGGGAGATCAGAGGGTCCTGCGGGCAGCCGAGAGGCGCAGCGAGCTCAGCTTCTTGTGTCTGCAGCTGTGGTCATGGTGATGCACTCGGTGCTGCTGGGCGGCGAGGAGCAGCGCTACCTACTGGAGGCCGCGGAAGAGCTGGGCCTGACAGATGGCTCCTTGGTCTTCCTTCCTTTCGACACACTCCACTATGCCTTATCCCCAGGCAGGGAGGCCTTGGCCGCACTGGCCAACAGCTCCCAGCTTCGCAGGGCCTATGATGCCGTGCTCACTCTCACGCGCCACTGTCCTCCAGGAGAGAGCGTGCTGGAGAGCCTGCGCAGGGCCCAAGAGAACCAAGAGCTGCCCCCTGACCTCAATCTGCAGCAGGTATATGAACCAAAGAGCAGGGAATGGGGTGGGAGGGGAGAGCCAGAAAGAGAACAGGAGATAGCCAAAATGAGGAGAGAAGGATGGAGCTGTTGAGGAGGATGGAGCCAATGAAGAGAAGGGTGGGAGTCAGTGGGGTGAGAACAGCAACTCCAGATGATCTGGAGTTTCCTGGCACTGTTCTTTTTGGTGGGCATCCTAGGTAATGTGATTGCCTTGAGAGTAGGCAATGAGATTTATGCAGCCCAGCCAGAGCCAAGCTCCAAGGAGTAAATGCTAAACTGCAATGTCATTTTCAGTCCATTTCAAAGCAGAACTATTCCCAGGACCAGGACAGTATACTGTCCACAATAAACAGCTGGGATTCTCAAGAGAGCAGGAAAGGGTATGTGGGGGGTGGGGAGGTACAGACCTACCTTCCATGCCTAGTTCAGAAGCTTTTCCTCTGGGGTGTCAACTGTGGTCTCAATTCTTTAAGGACCTTGACATCTTGCAAGAGCAGAAAGCCAGGGGCTCCCATAATCAGATCCAAAGATAGTTTACAACACTCATCTAATACCCAGGATTCCTTGAGTCTCCACAATCCCAGTTCAGACTGTCTAGCACAATCCCATCACAAATGGGGGATGGAAATCATTAAAGGAGGAGGGAATTTAGATGCAATGGGCAGGAAATTAACCACCACAAAGGCCATATTCAAAAGGGACTATAAATCAAGTGGGATTGAAATGTTCCCCACCAATAACCCTAGCCTTCCCCAACAGGATTTGGGTAACCTATGGAGAGAGAGAAGATGGGAATAGTCAATTAGAGAGTAAGAGTGGGATGAGGAGGAGTGTCAGCCAGTAGAGAAAGAGCGGAAGAAAAAGTAGAGATATTCTACTTGTTAGTGAATACTATAGCCTTCCACTAGCTGCCCAAACCAGACTCAAGGGAATTACCCTGATTCTTCTCACTTTGTCCTTCCACATCCAGGCATCAAGCCCTATCACTTTTACTACCTAAAGGTCTTTTGAATCCATTCACTTTCTCTATCTTCTTTGTCACTGCCTTCATTCAGGTCATAGCATCTCTGGCCCCAGTACCAAAACAGAATCTCCCAAATGTTTTCTCACCTGGTCCAGGCCTTTCTCCACCCAACAACTAGATCAAGATTCTTACATATTCTACCATGCCACCACTCTGTTCAAAGCCTCCCAGTGGATTCTGAATGGCCTTCTTCCAGCCTGGGTTAACCCTCACATGGTTGTCTCCTCACATGGCTTACCAGGACTTGTGCCTCCCCTATTATTCCATGATCTTCAGCCAGATTGAGTTACTTTGGGTTCCCTAACCATGCCCTTCTCTTTTGCCTCTGGGAGTGCTACTCCTCTCTCCTGCCCATCCCTTCCTGGATAATTATTCATCTCCTGAGGGATGGTCATTACTTCTAGAACCTTTCTCCAGCCAAGGTTGGGGACCCTCATTCCTGTCCTTGCAGCTCCTTCACTTTCCCCTACCTTCCCTTATTGCTGCTTTAATATCCCTGTTTCCCCAGCTAAAGGAAAGTCTCCAAGGCAGGGACTGTCTCCTATATACAGCTAGAGTTATACAATGTTTGGCACTCGGAGAGCTAGGAATGGGGATGGCCCAATGAGATCAAGTGGTACCATCTTGGGGAAAGAAAACAAGGAATAACAGAAATTAGAAACTAACCAAAGGATGGGAAAGAAGGCTTTTAGGTGAATGGTAGGCGATGAGATTAAAATTATATGGAAGGCAACAAACTAGAAGAAGACAACTATAAGAAAGGAGATTTAAAATCAACCAACCAGGAGAGAAGAGCCCAAGTCCTGATAAGACTGTAAGGAGGACCGAGTGGGCTAGCCAATGGAAAGAGAGGAAGCGATAGCCATTGGGAAGGGATTTGAGGAACCACTAGGAGATAGAGTCGGCAAGTCAGAACAGGGTTTCAAGAGCAGAAAGAACTCGTGAGGCCAATGAATTCCTATCAGTTTATGGGCTGTAATTCAGGGCTCTGAGTCCATACTCTCCTTCTCTAGGTCTCCCCGCTGTTTGGCACCATCTATGATGCTGTCTTTTTATTGGCCTGGGGCGTGGTGGGAGCACGGACAGCTGCAGGTGGTGGCTGGGTGTCAGGAGCAGCTGTGGCCCGTCACATCCAGGGTGCTCGAGTCTCTGGTTTCTGCGGGGCTCTGGGAGGAACTGAGGAGCCCTCTTTTGTGCTGCTGGACACGGATGCGACGGGAGACCGGCTGTTTGCCACACATGTGTTGGACCCTGCACTGGGCTCTCTGCGCTCCACTGGTACCCCTGTGCATTTCCCTCGCGGTGGCCAGGCACCCGGACCGGATCCCTCCTGCTGGTTTGATCCAGATATCATTTGCAATGGAGGTGAGGGCCAGCACCCCAGCTCCCCCTGGGATAAGAAAAGGAACTTTTCTTTCCCTTACAGATCCTCCTCCAACCCCTGACTTGCTCAGGACCCCTTTCTTGAGAAGTTCCAGAGCCGTCTGGGGACCACTCTAGCATTTCCAGATTCCCTCTTTGAGGAATCTGTGACCTTCCCCTAGAGCCTGTCCAGCTCCCACCCCCATTTGCTGAAGCTTCCAGGATTTGGCCTAACTGCATGCTTCCCTAGAAACTGGGCCTCCACCTACCAAGGTCCTGAGTGTCCCTCCTCCCATTGTCCCTTCAGGAGTGGAACCGGACCTAATCTTTCTTGGCTTCCTCCTGGTGGTAGGGATGGGACTGACTGGGGCCTTTTTGGCCCATTATGTGAGGTGAGTAGGAGGTGACCTCGGCTCTCTACCTGCCAAAGATGAAACTGTGAGGCAAAGACAGCAGGCTGGGTCACTGGAGAATAAAAGAGGGGAGAATTTTTCTTGGGGAGCGATTAAGGATACTGGAGGGCTGGCAGAGATCAGGGGATGTCTGCTGTGGGGCTAGCTGCCTTCCAGTACACTTCCCAGGGCTAACATCATCCCTCTCCCACATCTCTTGCTGGCTTCTTCTGGAACTTGGTCTCCTTTGTGGGAACGACATGACATCCTTCTCCCACCAGGCACCGGCTCCTTCACATCCAAATGGTCTCCGGCCCCAACAAGATCATCTTGACTCTGGATGACATCACCTTCCTATATCCACATGGGAGCAGCTCTCGAAAGGTCATGAAAACAGGGAGTCAGGAGCCAGTAGTCTTCTCCCTAATATTTGGTGTCTTCCCTTAACCCAGCCCCCATTTTTGCAGCCTGGTTTCTGCCCTAAATTGGTCCCAGGTTTGAGTCCGTGGATCAGTGACCACAGAGGGTGTGATGGGGGTGACAGCCCCTGTCCTGACTGCTTTCCGGGGATGGTGTGAAAGTCCAACAAGAAAGTGAATGTTTATCTGTGCACCAGTGGCTACTTGGGGATGCTGAGATGAGGAGAATCAAGGTTCAAGGCCAGCCTGGGCAAATAGTTTGAGAAACCCCCATCTCCAAAGTAACTATAGACAAATGGATTGGAGGTGTGGCTCAAATGGTAGAGTGCCTACTACTTTGTGAGCGGGAAGTCCTGAGTTCAAACCTCAATCTCACAAAAAAAAGAAAGAAAGAAAAAGAAAATGAGTGTTTTGTAAACTGTAAAGTATACAATTGGGGAGTAATGTCATTATCACCTTCTCTGAGATTTTGTCACCTCCCCTCTTTAATCCACAAAACTCACCCTGACCTCAATCCAGGACTCTGATCTCAGGATACATTCTGACCCCATGCATTGACCTCTGCCCCTCAGGTGGTCCAGGGGAGTAGATCAAGTCTGGCTGCCCGCAGTGTGTCAGACATTCTCAGTGTCCCCAGCCAGCCTACGGACAGCACCAACATTGGCCTCTATGAGGTGAGCTCTACTCCAGGAGGGGCAAAGAGGGAGGGAAGCTCAGGCTTGGGACAGAATGGAGGCACATTCTCCAGGGAAGCATGCAGTCGTGTCAAATCCTGCAGACTCTAGGCAGGAATGGGAACACTGGCGGGACCTAGGGAAGGGTCATGGATTCTGCAGTCCTAACCTGATTCCGCACCTGGGATTCCTCCCTGCTGGCCTCCTCCTGAAAGGCCAGTCACAGTGACTTGGAGGCTTGAGCTGCTGTGGAGTGTGCTGGGACCAGCAAGCAGGTTGGTGTGGCCACTGAGGCTATCTCCTGCCTTGTTGGGAGCCCTCTCAGCATTTCCACCAGTTCAGATCAGACTCAGGAACACAAATGCTAGAACAGAAAAGGAACTTCACAGAAGGACATTAGGACACTAAATGTGGAGCCAGCCAATGTGAAAGGAAGGCTTGGGGCATGGCTAACAAGCACACAGCCCTGAGAGAGACAGAGAGAGAGAGAGAGAGAGAGAGAGAGAGAGAGAGAGAGAGAGAGAGAGAGATCAGTCATTTGAGAGGAGAGTGGCTATGTAGAGCTGGAAGGAAGCTGCCTGTCCTACACAGCTGGTTTATAATGAGACCTGACATACTCTGATGCCTGACTCCTCATGTCTGACAGAGGTTGCTAATGAGAGTCTATAGCAATTCACTTAGTAGTACTGTTGGTGGCCCCATCTGGTGTGTGAGGACTGCTGTTCTAGTCTGTGTCTCTCTCACTTGGGCTGCCACCCTGCTGGTGAAGCAGATAGGCAGCCGTCAAACTCCCTGCTCTGGATGTTCTGTCTCAAAGAAGAAGTGTTTTGGGACAGTGGATCCATGGAAATGTGGGGGCTCCAGAGCTCTTTTGTAATCATGGGGCTTCAAAGGTCTGAGTTCCTAATCCCACCCTCTCTGGTGCAGGGAGACTGGGTTTGGCTGAAGAAATTCCCAGGGGATCATCACATAGCTATTCGTCCAGCAACCAAGACAACCTTCTCCAAGGTGAGAGTTAGATCCACCATAGGGGATGGGGTGGTCAGCAGTTCCTACTTCTTGCCTTCTCTTTGCAGTGAGGTGTGTGTGTGTGGGGGGGGTCTCAGTGAAGTGCTTTCTCCAGTCTAGAGCAGTTTCCTATCATTCTCTCTCATGCCAGTAGTTCTTCCCCTTTTATATGTGATAAACTCCATGTTAACTATTCACATTATATGTGCATCTGTGAGCTGTCTTATTTTTTTATTTGCCTTCCTTGGACTGCAAGTTAAGTGAAAACTTCCATGTGCCCATCCACTGCACTTTCTATACCCAGCACAGCATGTGGAATATTAGAGACCCACTAAATGTTTATTGAATGAATAATGGAAAGTTAAAAATGAGTTTCTACTTCTGTTAGTCCACCTGTGCAGAATGGCCTTAGCTATATTGACACAAGTTAAATAAAGTGGAAAGTTGGCAAGAAGGTAGTAGACTGGCTTATTCTGGTACTTGCAGCCTTAATGTCCCTCTTCCCCCCAACACCATGCAGCCTTAAGTCACCATAGGAACTCATGGTTACTGCTGAAGATTGACTTCAGTGGACTACCTGTATAGGTCAACAGACTAAATCACCCTTTAACACTGGGCATTTAAAATAAAGAGGAGCTGGTGGAATGACTCAAGTGGTAGAGCGCCTGCCTAGCAAGCATGAGGCCCTGAGTTCAAACCCCACTACCACCTCCCCCTACAAAAAAGTCATAAAATAAAAAGAAGCCCCTTACTGGGCATGTGGATCCAAGAAAAGCTAGGAAGAGCACCAGTCAGCCACTAGACTCCATTTTTCTAGCTTGGAGGACACTCTAATCCTGCCAGATTGGGTATGGTCTTCTAATGACTCATCTAACTGCTCCTCCCTAATTTCGGGAAACATTCCACAGCCATACACCTCTAAGCAAAGCCCAGGCCCCAGGCCCAAGTAATTTCTGGTGTGCTCTGAAGGGCCTCAACCTCTCTCTGCCTCTCTAGCAAAGACTGTTACATAAGAAAGGACTATGGGGTTGGTAGAGTGGCTCAAGTAGTAAAGCCCCAGTACTGCACACACACACACACACACACACACACACAAAGGGGCTGTGGTGGAGCCAGAGACTTCTCCTTGAGGCAGTTTCCCTTAAAACTTAACTTTGTGGTTAATGAATTAGGATCTAGGTCCTGATTATTAGTTTGCATTGTCTTTTCATTCATAGGTTTAAGTTCAATCGTATTGAATGTATTATATTCCCCAAAGACAAAAGTACCTAGAGAAGAAAGCCCCCTTCCTCTCTCTTAAACTACATCGTCCACAGCCCTTTTCATTCTTCAAGTTCAAGGCCATCTTCGAAGTTTGCATACTCGATGACAGGCAGTGAATAAGGCCTGTCAACTTCTCCCTTTCAGCTCCGGGAGCTCCGGCATGAGAATGTGACCCTCTACCTAGGGCTTTTCCTGGCGGGGACAGCAGAAAGACCCGCGGCCCCAGGGGAGGGCATGCTGGCTGTGGTCTCAGAGCACTGTGCACGGGGCTCTCTCCACGACCTCTTAGCCCAGAGAGACATAAAGTTGGACTGGATGTTCAAGTCTTCGCTCCTGCTGGATCTCATCAAGGTGAGTGTGTGTGTTGGGGAATAGGGGTGGGGGGAGTAGGGGAACCGCCTCGTCTGAGGCTACCTCTTGCCCTGCCCAAGGGAATGAGATATCTGCACCATCGCGGCGTGGCTCACGGGCGGCTTAAGTCACGGAATTGCGTGGTGGACGGGAGGTTTGTGCTCAAGGTCACTGACCACGGCCACGGGCGACTGCTGGAAGCGCAGAAGGTGTTACCCGAGCCTCCCAACGCGGAGGGTAGGAGTCCTGGTGCCTCCCTCTCCCATGAGCTTCCCCCAGGATTCCCATAGTTTCAAGACCCCCCTCTCTCTTCCTCCCTCTCTCTCTCTCCCCATTCCACAGCCAGTGGACCACACTGTAGCTACGGAAAAGGGGCCTAAGAGATTCAGAGGGAGGGCTCTGTGACTGGGGAGGTGGGAGCTTGTAGGAGGGGTTGTGCTGAGTTTGGGCCAGCGCAGTCGGGGGCCTGGGTAAGTGGGGCTCTGCCTAAGGGCGGGGCTTGACTCAGGAGGCGGAGTCTTCCCTGGGAGGCGGGGCCTATTTGTAGCGATGGGCTTTCTCTGAGATGGCTTTGTGTTTCAGGTAGTCCCTCCTGGGGATAGTTGAAGGGCTGCGGGGTTGGTGAGTGTGGAGGGCATGAGCCTGGGCTCTCTGGTGGGGATGAGGGTCTGTCCCAGAGCTGCCACCCTCTTCCCCCATCCTCAGATCAGCTATGGACAGCCCCAGAGCTGCTTCGGGACCCCGCCCTGGAGCGCCGAGGAACTCTGACTGGCGACGTCTTCAGCTTGGGCATCATCATGCAGGAGGTCGTGTGCCGCAGCGCCCCCTATGCCATGCTGGAGTTAACACCCGAGGGTAAGACGAGTTCCAGCCAGATAGGCACCCTGCAGCTAGGACAGAGCAAGCTGTCCAATGGGAGAGCAGATTGGGTCCAGGGGTCTTCAGAGGTCCCAGGGAGGCTGGGGGGAGGAGGGGACAGTAAGGAAAGAGTCCTATCAGATTAAAATCTGTATCACTCATCATCTGTAGAACTCCGAGCAAGCTACTTGATCACTTGTTTTTCTTACCTGCAATAAATAATAAAATGTCTGTGTCACCTCTTACTGATCCCCAGGGTATAGGGTCCTCTTGTTCCACACAACACTTCCCCACCCACTGAAGCTCTAATTGAAAGGACCTTCTGTCAGTCCCCCTTCTTAGGCATCAACAATCAGGGTCAGAGATAGCTTCTGTTCTGGGGCACTCGACCCTCACAGTCCTCCTATGCCTCCAGAAGTGGTGCAGAGGGTGCAAAGCCCCCCTCCACTGTGCCGGCCCTCGGTGTCCATGGACCAAGCACCCATGGAGTGCATCCAGCTGATGACACAGTGCTGGGCAGAGCAGCCGGAACTTCGGCCATCCATGGACCGCACATTTGACCTGGTCAGGGGCTGGGATTGGGCAAGAATTGGGTTGGATGGTGGGGGTCACAGATTCTTGTCAGCACCCTGGGAAGGTGGCAGACTGGCAGGATCTTTGACCTTCCAGGCTAAGTCTTAAGGGGTAACCTAAGGACTGGAAATTTGGTGGGGCAGAGTTTTAGAACGGGGGTAAGCTAGAATGGGTGCTGTGGAGGCCTTTGGAGTGGAAGACAGAGCTCTGGGTGGGAGAAATATTTAATTCAACTCAAATAACATTGAATGAGAACCAAGTATGTGCTTGGATTATTGTGACAGAAAGACCCTTGGCCTCGGAGTCCAAAGTCTGGCCCTACTTTAGTGCCCTGTCAATTCCTAGTGGAGAACAGCACCTCTAAGAACCCTCATTTTCCATGTACCTCCCAATAATGTCTAAAAAACAAGATGACCAGCACCTCGGGGTGCTTGTTGAGTAGAAGATGAATGCTAGGGTGGGGAGGAGTACTCAGGAATATAGCCCCACAAGAGGCTCCACAGAGAGGAGCATGGCTTTACCAGCTTTCATCTCCTCCTAGTTCAAGAGCATCAACAAGGGCCGGAAGATGAACATCATTGACTCAATGCTGCGGATGCTGGAACAATACTCCAGTAACCTGGAGGACCTGATCCGGGAGCGCACGGAGGAGCTGGAACTGGAAAAGCAGAAGACAGACCGGCTGCTTACACAGATGCTGCCTCCGTGGGTGCCAACTTGGAGAAGGGTGGGCAGAGAGGGCAGTGGAACCCAGCCAGACTGCAGCAGCCTCCAGGTGAACCCACTGGTTGCCATGCCTAGGTCTGTGGCTGAGGCCCTGAAGATGGGGACACCTGTGGAGCCTGAGTACTTTGAAGAAGTGACACTGTACTTCAGTGACATTGTGGGCTTCACCACCATCTCAGCCATGAGTGAGCCCATTGAGGTGGTGGACTTGCTTAATGACCTCTACACACTCTTTGATGCCATCATTGGTGCCCACGATGTCTATAAGGTGGAGTGTGCAGGGGACAAAACCCTGGGACCTTCAGTTCAACTGCTCCAGTCCCCAGTTCACTTGCTGTAGGCCACCAGCCCAATCCTCTTCCCTAATCTTTTCCTCCGGTCCCCAGCTCAGTCCCTACCTCAAAGCCTGACTCCCCAGGATGTCTGCACTAACCCCAGTTTAGGCTTCCTAACACAGGACATTCTAAGTATGGGGGGAGGGGTGCTCAGTGCTGAATTGGTACAACCTCTTCCTCCAGGTGGAGACGATTGGGGATGCCTACATGGTGGCCTCAGGGCTGCCCCAGAGGAATGGGCAGCGGCATGCTGCAGAGATTGCCAACATGTCGCTGGACATCCTTAGTGCGGTGGGCTCTTTCAGTATGCGCCATATGCCAGAGGTACCGGTGCGCATCCGCATTGGCCTGCATTCAGGTAACTCCTTGCCTTGCCCCTCTCTGGCTTCAGCCCAACTCCCTTTTTAGGCTCCAGCTCCAGATTCCTTCTATAGGAGGCAAACTCTTGGGATGGGGAGTGGGGGCTTCCCTTAAGAGTGTTTATTGGAGGAGTTGGTAAAGAGTATGGGGTGTAAGATCTTCCAAGGCCCTAGGTGCAGCCCAGTGTCACCACCAGCTTCAGCCTAAGTCCTGTCTGCCCTTCGACCCCTCGCATCTCTGCAGGCCCGTGCGTGGCGGGTGTGGTGGGCCTCACCATGCCGCGGTATTGCCTGTTTGGGGACACAGTCAACACTGCCTCCCGCATGGAGTCCACTGGTCTGCGTGAGTGTGACAGCGGCGGCGGGAGAAGCTTGGGGAAGTGGGGCGGGGAAACAGCCCGGGAAGGGGACACGTAAGGTGACTCCTGAGCTCATGGTGTCCCCCATCACCCCAGCTTACCGCATCCACGTGAACATGAGCACCGTGCGGATTCTTTGTGCTCTGGACCAGGGCTTCCAGATGGAGAGGCGAGGCCGCACGGAGTTGAAGGTGAAGGCAGATCCCTTTCCTTAGAGGCCCCGCCTCCTCCTGAGGGCGGCGTTCCAGACCTTGGCTTTTCTGGTTCTGCTAAGATCCTCCATCTCTCACCCCAGTCTGTCTGTGTGTCCTTCCCCGTGTCTCTCAGGGCAAGGGCACTGAGGACACGTACTGGCTGGTGGGCAGACTCGGCTTCAACAAGCCCATCCCGAAACCGCCCGACCTGCAGCCAGGGTGAGTGCGAGCTGAAAAACAAATGACCGGCTCCGGACTGGAGGGTCCCTTAGCCTCCCCCTCCCTCTCACTCTGGGTGACCCAGGCGCGAAGCAGTGATGACCCTTTTCCCCTCTCATGAGGCCGCCGTCCCATCCCTGCAGGGCCAGCAACCACGGCATCAGCCTGCAGGAGATTCCCCTGGAGCGGAGACGGAAGCTGGAGAAGGCGAGGCCCGGCCAGTTCTCAGCGAAGTGAGGCCTGGCTTCACCCGGCAGGTGCTGCTTCTCCCCCTCAAACTCCCAAGCCACACACCGCAGGGGGATGCTTCCTAGGGACAGGCGCCTTCTTGCCATCCTGAGGGCCCTAGTGCTGCCAGATGGCCCACCCAAGCCAGGTGTCCTGATACCTGTCTGACTAGTGAGCCCATTCTGGTTCCTAAACCCAGAGATTTCCTCTGGGAGGGAAGCCCCTGCTGCAGGGATGCTAGTTCAGTAGGTCTGGAGTGGTCTAGGTCAGAGGTTTAGGGACTCCTGTGACTTCTTTCCCCACCCCACCCCTTCCTTAGCATAAACCAGGCTTCCCAAGGTTGCCTCTCACGTGGTACACTGCATAAGAGAAAGAAGCAGGCAACACTGGCCAGGACAGAGGACAGCGTGAAAGTTGTCCCTGAAGTTCAGTCAGTGGGAACCCCACCCACTACCCTCCTGCAAGAACCTCTTCTCCATGACCCTTTCCCTTCTACATAACTTCCCCTCCCCATGACCACTTTCCTTCTCTGAAACAGTCTCTTTTCCTCAGGATTAGTCTGGAAGGTCCTTTCCTGAAAGCTGCTGCTATAGGTGACCAAAAGCCTGGCTAATGCTGGTGGCTTCTGTCCAGCTCTACCTCCAAGGATTCTGAGCCAAGAGCCAGCTGCAGACCAGCTCCGTGACCTTGGGAAGGTCTCATGCACTCTCCAGGCTTGGGTTCCCTTCAGTGGTGAAGGTGTGGGGGCATGCTAAGTGGTTTCTACCACCCTGTAGCCCTGACAGCTGGGCTTTAGAATGACTGGCCTTGAGATATTGAACACAGTGGCATGTGGCTCTCAGCCCCAAGGACCCATAGTCTATCAGGGTATGTTTGGGGTGGGGAATTCACCACTTTCTGGGACCTCTTGAGCCCCAGGGAAGAGGATCAGGGATTGGATGCCCCAGAGGAGGTGGAGACCTTGTGTATCCACCAGGGAGGGGTTGTCATGCGGCCTGGGGTTGTCATGTGGCTTCTATTCAGCTCCATTGCCCACCTGTCAGAAAATGGCTCCTTCTCCAGTGGGCAAAATCAAGTCATTTGCCCAAGTGCAGAGAAAAGCTTGCTTTGAGGCTCTAGGGAAAGAAAATTAAATTGCACCAAAACTTTGTTAACCAGAACAGCCAAGGGTTAGTTGTATTCTCTCTTTAACCAGGTGTTCTAAGCATGTAGGCAGACAGAAAATCCTCTCTTCTTAGATCCATGCAACAAATGCCCAGTTTTGTCAGTCCCCCAGCTGAAATTTCCTCTGTGGAGCTCTGAGATTCCAGAGCCCGGGCTTTGACATGTTTGACTCTTGGTGTCCTTTGCCATAGACCCCGGAAGAAGTTAGCAGCAACTGCAGCCACCAGGTAGGTGGTGTGTGTACAGTCCCTGGTGGTGTACAAGTGGAACTGGAGACATTGTTAACAGGATGTGAGAGTCAGAGGGTATTCCTAGGTGGACAAAGGCGCTAAGTCCTCATTATGGGAAGTGTTATTGGTGGATCAGCAGCACCAGCAGTACCTGGGAGCTTCTAAAAATGCAGAACCTCAGGCCCCTCCCCAGACCTAATGAATCAGAATCTGCATTTTTTTTTTTTTTTGGTAGTACTGGAGATTGAACTCAGGCTTTCATGCTTGTGCTCTACCACTTGAGCCATGGCCCCAATCCTTTTTGCTTTGTTTATTTTTTGGATAGGGTTTCATGCTTTTGCCCAGGCCAGCCTCGGACCATGATCCTTCTACCTCCACCTCCTGAGTAACTGGGATTACAGGTGTGTACCACCATGCCCTGTCCTAGAATCTGCATTTTAACAAGCTTTCTAAAAATGTTACAGGCCCACTAAAGCTTCTGACACATAGAACTGAATGATTATAGAATCCTTTCAATCTCAGAATCTCTGAGTTTATAAAAGTGAGACTAGAGCTGGGTGCCAGTGGCTCATGCCTGTAATCCTAGCTACTCAGGAGGCAGAGATCAGAAGGATGAAGTTTGAAGCCAGCCCTGGGGAAATAATTCATGAGATCCTATCTTGAAGAAGCCCATCACAAAAAAGGGCTGATGGAGTGACTCAACGTGTAGGCCCTGAACTCAAACCCCAGTATCGTTTAAAAAAAAAGAATGAGACTAGAAACTAGTCATTAGACTTGTTTTGTTTGGCTTATGAGGTATTTTTTGTTTTGACCTAACATTTAAAAATCAAATTTAAGTCAGTATATTTAAAAAAATGTATGCAGTCATCCCTTGGTCCCCATAGGGGACTGGTTGCAGACTACCATGGATACCCAGATCCTCAGGTGTTCAAGTCCCATGTAAAATGACATAGTATTTGCATAGAAGCTATGCACATTGTCCTATATACCTTAAGTCCCCTCTAGATTGCTTGCAATATGTATAATAATACTTATAATAGTACTTATAATGCTAAAGTAAATGCTATGTAAATACTTGTTATACTGTATTTTTTTAGGGAATGATGGCAAGAAAAACATCTGTACGGTATTCAGTGCAGGCACTACCTTCACAAGCCTAACTATTAATACATGACCCATGGCTGGTTGAATCCAAAAAGGAGACAAGCAGGGATAGAAGGGCTGGCTGTTCCAGATTTCCCTCTCCTGAAATCAAAAGCGCCATTTAAGGCTTGCATTTCCCCTGAACAACATTCTGCTGGAGATAAAGAACGACATTTTAATCTAGGGCTTCACACTTCAGTTCTCACATTCCTCACCAGTTGCTACAGACAAGACTTTCTGAAAATCCCTTATGTCATAGACGTTGAGCCTGGACCTCTCTGGAGCCTCAGGTGTTAGGATTACAAGTGCTTCCCCCCACCCCATTAGAAGGCTTCCTTTCCTTCCTAAAGATAAAAGATTTATTAGAAATAGCAGGTCCAGCACTTGAAAGTTCTGGTTACCTAAGGTGTGCTTTCATAGTGAGTAATTTAGTGCAATTAAAACTCTTTAAACTACTTTTAAAGATGATGAATTAAAGATTAAGACAAGACAAAATAAGAAAAACCTAATGTACACACACACTTTTTAAAAAAAATCATTTATATTGTTAAACATTTCCCATAAGATTTTCTCTGTACTTAGGTCCCAGGATTGAAGGGCAGATTCTGTGTGGCTGGCCTTGGATCCTGAATTTAACTCTTGAAAGTCCTGCTGTTTCCTCCTTCCCACCTCACTTCCCTTCCTTTTTTCCCCTTTCTCCTTCTCTTGCTGCCAGGGGCCTGGGGTGGTTATTGGTATGTGATTCAGGAGCCCCAGGAAAGAGTCATCCAGGGTTAGGTGCTGGAGGACTAGCTGGGGCAGGCTTGGGCAGAGCACCGCAGAAGACGAAGACGAGCTGAGGTCCAAATCACCTTGAGGGAGAGGTGGAGTGGGCAAGGCCTGGCAGTCCATTTCCACCTTGACTCAGCCTCATTCCCAGGCCAGTTGCCAATGATCTTAAATGACTAGATGCAATGTGGCTGGAGGATGAGGCCCCACATCAGAATTCACAGAGCCAGCGGGAGAAGAAAAGGAAAGATTAAACCTCACTGTCCTCTGTCCCTCTGTCTCCTCCTTTCTCTGTTTCTGGCCCCCTCTCTGCCCTTGCTGTCCTCTCTCTATCCTCAGAGACCTCTTTCTGCCCAGCAGTTCCTTCCTTCTCTGCAGTTTCCTCCATTTCTGGGGAACCATTTTTTTTTTTTCTGATTGCAGATCATCAGTTTTCAATCTTAAGTCCCAAATATAGTCCTCCCCACCTCCCCCTCGTGTTCCCCAGACCTTGGCTATTCCCAGCCTGTGAGGGCACCTGGCATGGTCACTGGGCACTCCCCATACCTTCGGATGTGTTTACACTACTGGGCCAGCCTATGTCAGGAGCCTATGCTGGAACTGCCCTTGCCTTTGAGATGGCTCTATGGCTGGGACCAGCGATGGCGATGGCCGATACAGGAACCTTTCACAGCTGCTGCTTTGATCCTGGGGCTCACCTGGCACCTTTTCTTTGTGCTGCTCCTAGGGGTCTGGGCCCTGTTTCCTGTGCCCATCTATGGTGGACCCCAGGCACCACCACCCCCACCTCTGGGGAGGTGAGCTGAGCTGTTCCTTGGAAGGGATTTGTGACACTGCATTGTAGGACTGTGTGTTCACTGGGATTTTTTGAATCTTGCACCTGGGACACTAGGCCATGTGTCATGGTATTTGCGTCCTGGGATGGTGGGGGCTGAAATAAAGATATGCATTCTTCCTTTTTGTGGCAGTGATCCCTTTGACCTCAAGGGGTAGTTGAACGTCCCTACTCCTGGCATGCTCAAACCTAGCATTGGCAGGGAGGGTTTCAGACAGGGGTGAACTCTGGAGGTGAACTAGGGGAGGCAAGCAGAGGGTCAACAACTCCCAGAAGCTTCTCTGCTCAGGAAGTTGGGTGTGAGGAGACAGGCAAAGAAGTCTCAGAACTCTCAAGCTTCTAGAAAAGATAAAGGTCTTTGGGGTTCTGGAATTGGGTGACATGGCTTCATTCCTTGACCATAGGCAGAAGAGAGGAAAGAAAAGAAGGGCAGAACTTGCCTGTGGCAGTGACCCATGTTTCATGTAGCTGGAGTTGGAGGCTGAAGATATAGGGCATCTGGATGGAAAAGTGAGACTCACTGGTCTCTGGGCAGGACTTCACCAACAATGCCCACTCAAGAGCTTGCCCTGGGGACTGGAGTGGAGCAGACTATCCCAAAACTACCAATGAGTAACTATCCCATAAACCTTCTTGGAGCCCAGCTGTTTTCCCATCCCAGACCCAATGTTCCTGACACAGTGGACATCAGTTGTCCTGCCCTCCAAGCCTCCATCCTGCTGTCCAATTCTCAGTCCTGTGGAACTGAGTAGAACTGATTCCTGAGTTGCTGCTCCAGCCCAGCTCTATGGCAACAGGGATTGCTTCAAGAATAGACAGGTGGCCTGGGCTGAAATGAAGCTTGGTGCCAAGATAGTGCTTGAAGCTATTGGAAGCAGATGTCTCTTTCCTCTGGGGTTGCTGAGGGGATGGGACATTGAACAGTCTTGCCACCACAAAGACAGAGAACGGAACCGAAAATGGAACGAGACTGCCTGACTGCCACCATTTTCTGGACTGAAGCCAGATCTTGCTAAGTAACAAGGGCCAGAAATTTGCTTCCTTTGCTTGGGCAGATTGAGTTGGGCCTTCTGTTCTTTGCAATCCAAAGTGTCCTGACATTCTCTCAAAGGATTATGGAATGCAGCGAGGGTTAGACTGGTGAAACAAGAAAGAAAAGAAGAGGACTATGGCTTGTTGAGGGAGAGGAGTGAATAGGGATGACCAGCAGAAGATGGTTACCATGCACTGACGCCACAGAGGATCAGCTGATCTCTTCCTCTGTGGAATGACCATTATATTTATTGGTCATTATTTATAAGCAGGGGACAGGTCAGAACCTGGAATGAGAAAGTGAGCAGGGCATTGAGTCAGGATACTAGTCCTGGCTTGTCATTTGTAAATTGGAGGAATTGATGCAAATGAGACTGTGACACAGCCTGCTAAACTCAGGACGTCACTGTTTACATCTTTCTGAGTTAAATGACTAGACTTTGACAGGGAAGTTGGGGTGGGAACAGCTATTTCTCCCTGTTCCCAGAGCTGTGAGGGAGTAGTCAAAATAGGTCTGAGAGCTGCCATGTCTGGGAAACCTAGATCTTGTAGGGCAGAGTCATTTGTCACATCCCACAGACTCATCCATCCAAACTAAAGCTGTTTTGTCCCCTCTTCCTGGCACATTCCACCTCACCACCCACCCCTGAGCCTGAAAGTCGCGGGCCCTGGGCCCAGATACAGGTGAGTCATCCAAGCATCTGTCCCCACCATTCAAAAACCTGCACACAGTCTCTAACACTTATTCTAATACTCATGTGACCCATTTTGCACTAGCAAAACTGGGGTTCCCAGCAGAGAAATGACTTGTTGAAGGCATCCAGCAAATGTTGGAACAAGGGACAAGTCTGGGCGTTAGGACTATGGGCAGATTAATCTTTTTTTTTTTTTTTGATGGCACCAGGATTTGAACTCAGATCTTCACAGTTGCTAGGCAAGTGCTCTTACCACTTGAGCCACTCCTCCAGCTTCTGGGCAGATTATCAAAGAATTTGACTTGGTGGGATGTGAACAGGAACACATCTGACATTTCTCCATCACTGCCTTCAAAAGTCCAGTCCAGTGGAATGTACTGATCTCCTCCACCTGCTTTTAACACCTGGTCCTCACCACACCTGTCTCCTCAGTTTTCTAAGGGGAAGTTTGCCTCTGTACCTGCACTCCTCCTCCCACTTGGGCTGCTTAGTCAACAGAGGAGGGACATGGGTGGTACCATGTGATCCTGGGGTCCTTGCCCCTCTAAACTAAGGAACATAGTGGAGGTTTAATTGGTCACCTGTTGGAGAAATTTCCCTGTTCTGACTTTGGCCATGACTGCCCTGATTGGGCACTTGTGGAGGTGGGTTCTCCACAAAGCTAGAAAAGTTGAGGCTCCACAGTTCCACACCTGCACAAGCCCCTTCAAGTCCCCTTACCTAATTTTGTACGTCATCCCTCAGTATTCCTGGATGATTGGTTCCAGGACTCTGGCAAATACCAAAATCTGAGGCTATTCAAGACCATTATAAAAAGTGGCTGAGTACTTGAATCTAATCTATATACATTCTCCCATATGTTTTAAATCATTTCTAGATGAATTATAATATAATGGTAATGCTACGTAAACAGTTGTTACACTGTATTGCTTAGAGAATAATGACAAGGAAAAACATCTGGGCTCAGCATGGTGACACATGCCTATAATTCCAGCACTGGGGAAGTTGAGGCAGGAAAATCGTATGTGTTCAGTACAAAGGCAAATTTTTCCTCAGATAGTTTTAATATCAGATTTGTTGAATACAAGGATGCAGAGTCTGGAGATAGAAAGAATCAATTATCCTTTTTTGTTAAAGAGCATCTTCAAAATGGACAAGCTGCCAGGCATGGTGGCTCATACTTGTAATCTTAGCTACTTAGGAGATGGATTTCAGGAGAATCACATTTCAAGGCCAACCCAGACAAAAAAGTTATTGAGACCCTGTATCAACCAATAAGCTGGGCCTAGTGGCACACTCCTGGAATCCAAGCTCTGAGGGAGGCATAGGATGGCCCTGAAAAAAATACAAGAGACCCTGTCTACAAAAAGCAAAAAAGACCTTGGGGCATGACTCAAATGGTAGAACCATTGCACTGCTTAGCAAGTGCAAGGCCCTGAGTTCAAATCCCAGTGTTGCAAAACAAAATGGACTAGTACCAGGTGTCTACATTTGGGTTCACTTCTGCCTATGGCTCTCTAGGGTCAGATTTCAGCCTCTGCCCAGTTTTCTTTGTCACTGAGGACCCTCAGAAGGGAACAGCTATGACTCTTTCCAGGTGCAGCATCTCCTTCTGCATCCCATGGCTGCCTGGGCAGTGGTCCAGCTTCAGCTCACATTCATGAGGAAATGAAGGAACTGTCCCCTTCCTCAGTCGCTCAGGCCATGGGAGGCTGGGCTGGGGCTACCTCTGTCTTCCTCCTGGCCCTCTGTGACTCCTACTGACTGTATTCTGAAGCCAGGAATGAGATTCCCCCTACCCTCCAAAGACTCCTCCATCCTGGATAAGAGTCTTCCAGAGAGTCACCACTTGGTATTCACTGGGGGAAGGGCCTTACTCAGGCCAGACGTTGGTTCCCATGCACGCATTCCTATTGTCTCCCTCTGGGCATGATGGGAAGCAGGAAGTGGGAAGTAGGAGCACCAATTATGGCAGGGCCAATTCTACAAACTCTCAGAAGCCCTTGGGATGGTTTGCAGCTGGGGCAGCTGGGGCATTAGTCTCTCTCTTTAGAATGTGGACTTCTTAATACCTACTCATTTCAGCTGTGGGCTTAGTTCTAATTCTGTGGCCTCAGGAAAAATTTCACTCAGCACTTTATTATAGCAGAATTAATATACAATCGGCTGTCCTGCTGGTTCATCATCCTTGAAATAAACCAACGGCAGATTGAAGTTATTGGGAATTTTTGGGGAAATGTTACATTCTTCCTGATGAGTGCTCTGTAGTTAGACCTAGGATGGTTGTATCTGTACTATGCAGTCTTTTTTCTTGTCATTATTCCCTAAACAATACAAGGTAACAAGTTATTTACACAGCACTGACATTGTATTAGGTATTATAAGTCATCTAGAGATCATTTAAAGCACATGGGAAGATCTGTGTAGGTTGTAGTAAATCCTATGCCATTTTACATAATGGACTTGAGTATCCTTGAATTTTGGTATTCCTGGGGGTGGAGGAGGGTCTCGGAACCAGTCCCCTGCAGCTACCAAGGTATGACTGAGCATTGATGAATGGATTGCCCAATTGGCATAGGTTGTTAGCCCACACCATTTTTAAAAGCCAAACAAAATTGACTTATTTTTCATACTACAAAGCCCTCTTGATCTTTTGATCTTGACCAAATGTCGGTCCATTGGACTAGAATGTGCTTATGACCGCAAGTTCAACGAGAGCCTTTTCCTTCTGCACCACCTACCTCCTCACCCAAACCACCAAGCCAAGCAAATAAATGTCCACCCACTTTCTGGCTTTGCCTCAGGCCTCACCACCAGTCCCTTTATCACTGGCTAGCACATCATCCCAATACCCAGTGTCATTTGGAGTCATATGGGATCTTAAGCATATGACTGTCAGGTCCCCCACTTCGGCCCCTGGGGCCACCTTCCCCCAGGGCTTAGCTTTCATCTCAGAATGGATGGGCACCTAGAGCTCTTGCTATATTCTCTGCTGGGTCAGGGCCTGGGAGGGCGGTGGTAGCCCCAAGTGAAACATGACCTGAGGGGCTACATGCATAGTATTAAGTGTCCACAGTGAAAAACTCCAGGCAAACTTCACCAGGACCCAAAATGGGTACAAGAAGGGACCAGTACTGAGCACTTTATCATCAGCACAGCTACTAAGGGATGGGCGCCTTCCTGGCCTTGGAGAACAGGCCTAGACTGGATCTCCACCTAGGGAGATTCCCTTGGTCCTAGTTCCTGATCATGGGGACCCTGAGGCAGTTGAACTAGATCCTCCCAAAACAAGAGCTGGTCCCAGAAACTGGTCCTTCCAGTAGTCGGTGCCTCACCGAGGAGGCCAGAGGACATGTCCTGTGATGACACAGCTGTGAAGATGGTCTTCAGGAA